AAAATTAACTTATCAAAGTAAAAAGCAATTTATTATCAAAACAAACCGGCATCAAATTTTAAATTAAATAATATATATTATTCACATTACTATTATTGGATAATCAAAAATTAGACTTAATCAATTGATTAAATAAAGAAAAACTAAAGGTTAAACAACATTAGTTAAGAATTAATATATTTTCCAAAAAGTATTCTCTAAATTCATTTAAGGGGCATAACTAGTGTAACCGCCTAAAAAAGGTGATTTTTGGGAATTTATATTAAAAAAACTATAGTTTTTTGACAAAGTATACTTTGTCAATCATTTCAAAATTTTAGGAATATATTTATATATGTTTTATGAATACATAGTAAATTTTTTGAAGAAAAAAATTAAATAATTTTTTAAGTTATCGTCGATCTCCAAATGCGCGATAAAAAAAAGGCCTTTCACTGCTGTAGTAATTCCGGCCTTCTACGTGGATGAAATTAAAAAAAAAAATCTCGTTAAACTAGATAATATTGTCTGTAAAATGAACTACGATAAAGAACAAAAATCAAAAATTGACAAAATGACGGCGTTTTTTAAAAAAAAGTCGAATTTTATCCAAAATTTTGGTCGTTTTTGGACTGCCAAAATTCGATTTTTGATCCGATCAAAAGATCGATAGTTCATTTAACGGAGAACTATATATAGAACATGTATAAAAAAATTTGGTAGTGATCGGATCATTTGTTTTTGAGTTATCGCTATTTTGAGTAATTGAAATTTTGATTTTTTGAAAAATTCACACTAGTTGTGCCCCTTAAATAAAAAAACTAAGTGTCTTCTAATAAAAATTGTTGAAAATTGAAGAATCAAGAATTATCCAAATATTCTAAAATGTCAGTTGATATCACCGGTATAAATTTTAATAATGATATTATTTTTTTCATGACATTTGTTAAAAAATTACGATATTTTGCAAAAAGTATTCTCTAATTTCATTTAAATATATTAATTATAAAACTTAAATCACGTACAGCAAATTACGTAAAATTAACTTATCAAAATAACGAAAAATTTATTATCAAAACAACGCGGCGACGAATTTTAAATTAAATAATTCGATGCAAATACTTTTATTTTTCAACTTAAAGTATATACATGAAATGACGTAAAATTAAAAGCAATTTATTATCAAAACAAACCGGCGGCATCAAATTTTAAATTAAATTTAACTTTAATTTAAATTTTGCATATAAAACACCGCACTATTAATTTTTAAACAATAAATAATATAATAAATAAATAAAATCATTGTCTCACTTTAAAACATAATCACCAATTTTAATCCGATTATTACTGCACTGTCGCAATCAGACCAGGTTTGTTTACAAACACTGATTAGTACAGTACAATTGACGTTTACTTTCCGGTTCCGGTACTTCACAAATTTTTATTATTACGCGATATAAAATTAATTGGTAACAAAAACTTAGAATATTACCATAAATCACGTTATAGTTTTTATTATTATTATTATAGTTTTATCTAATCGCGACATAAACGATATTCGAAAATTGCTGAAGCAAGCAGCGCGCTCCCATGCCGAGCTCCAGTTAGCTACTGGCTACTGTTGCGCTGACGTTAGCTCGATTCGCTCTTAACCTACGAGAACCTGTACATGCGCAACTCCGGATAGTAAACACTCACCAACATATATAAACTGATATCAAATTTACACGAAACCAGGAACGGATTTAGGGGAATCGATTCGGCTTCTTCGGTGATATTAATGGATTTTTGTATTAAACTAGTGGTTCATGGCAACGTGCCTTAAAGGAGGCGTCTATTAATTACGTGAGATTTTTAGGGGGAGGGAGGGATATAGTAAGATACACGTGTATTTAGTTTTTAACTATTTTTTTTTTTAAAGTACAAACATTTTCAAAAACTAGCTGTAAGTGGAATTCTGTCCTAAGGCAATTAGGGCATCGTGCCTTAAGGCAAATTGCTGGAACTACCCGTACCGCAATTAAAAATTCTAGTAATTAAAAATAATCAATAATAATAATAAATAAAAGTTGATCAATGATTTGAAACTTTTAATAGAATTTCGAACCATATTTAATCATTCTATCTTAAATCATTTATTTTGAAATATTTTGGAAATTCTAAATACACACACACACACATACATCTATTTTTTCTAAGGTATGCCAAAATGTTCAGAAACCTTTGAAACGTAAAGATCTATAAAAATTTTCATTTTCGATTTTTTTGCGATTACTATAACTTGCCCTACGGGAAGTTAACTAGTGGGGCGCATGGCATCGTATCTTAAGGCAAATTGCTGGAACTTCCCGTACCAAAAATTATATTTTTTTAAATAGATTAACATTTTTGAAAAAAAATTACTCTGAAAAATTAGATTTTTGAGTAACTATAAGTTTTTGACAAAAATTTACTTTTTTTTGAAAAGAAGTGTGTTGTGAAATATTTTGGAAATTCTGAACTTTTTTTCAAAGCAATCGTACATAGAGACGAAATATCAAAGCGCGTAAGCGCCGCGCCGCCGTCTAACGAATGAGCATTGGTACGGAACCCATAGGAATGTAAACAAAATTTATACTTATTTTTGATAAAAAGTGTATTTTGAAATATTTTGAAAATTCTGAACTTTTTTTCAAAGCAATCGTACTACTTTAACTGCATTGAGACGAAATATCGAAGCGCGTAAGCGCCGCGCCGCCGTCTAACGGATAAGCATTGGTACGAAACCCATGTAAACAAAATTTATACTTATTGTTAAAATCTCTATAAAATATCTGATAATTTGATGTGCATATGTCTAATGTTCATTTTCGACCGCCAAATGTTTTTTTTTCACTTTCTTCACTTGATCTCCGCATCCGCTAGACCTGCCTTTAAGAAAATTTGATCAGTTCTTCATCTTGTTAATACAAGTGACATGTTTTTTGAATTATTCAAATCGGACGCTCCGTTATCTTAAAAACTGACTTACCGTTTTTAGCTTCGTAACGGCTAGGCCTGTCTTTGCCAAAAACTAATCAGCACGTCTCCTTATCAATACGAATCGAATGTTTTTTGAATTATTCAAATCGCTTCATCCGTGTTCCCGAAATCGTCGACGAAAATTTGTATCCGCACACACACACATACATCCATTTTTTCTAAGGTATGTCTAAATGTTCAGAAGGTTTTGAAACGTAAAGATATATAAACATTTTCATTTTAGATTTTTTTGCGATTACTATAACTTGCCTTACGGGAAGTTAATAATCTTTTTTAAAAAGTTCAAACATTTTCAACTCAAAAATTTTACAGTTTTTTTACATACCTAAAAATACACGTGATGTTTGGTAGGGAGAGGGGGGGGGGTTAATTTTGAATATCACCCTGTATCACTAAGGGGGAGGGTGGTCCAAAAATCCTTAAAAACTCCCTTACGTGATTAATGGACGCTCCCTAAGGCAAATTGCTGGAACTTTTCGTAACAGAACTAAATATTCGAGGAAAAAAACTAGTAGTGTATGGCATCGTGCCTTAAGGCAAATTGCTGGAACTTCCCGTACCAGAATTATATATTCGAGGAAAACAATCAGTAATCAATAAAATTTCATCAATGATTTACAACAATTGTTTTATACGTTTTCAATTAGATAATTACAATTACTATATATTTTATCGTTCATAAAAATAGATTTTTGAGACAAAAATTTACTTTTTTTTCGAAAAAAAAAAACTTTTTAAAGAAAAATTTTATTTGGAATATTTTGGAAATTATGAACTTTTTTTTCAAAGCAACCGCACTGCTTTAACTGCATAGAGACGAAATATCGAAGCGCGTAAGCGCCGCGTCGCTGTCTAACGGATACGGAACGGAACATTAGTACAGAACCCATAGAAATGTAAACAAAATTTATACTTTAAATATTATGTTTCTTGTTTACAAATTATATATAACTTAACATTTTTATTTTTCATTTATTTCTTTTGTGTTCCATTGTTAACTAAAATTTTTCTTGGGTTTTCTTGGTATGAACAGCTTAATGGTGAGACATATCTAGCGCCGAAACGTACACAATATTAATTACCTTTTAATTTTAAAATTAATAAATAATTGATAAATTTAATATACGTTTTTGATCGTTATTTATTTTATTTTGGGTATATGAATATATTTTGTATATAGTAAATTATAATAAATAATGTATATTATTACCACGTTCTTATTCAACAAATTTAACTGAATGCAGTACTGTTCTAAATAAATATGTATATTACACCTACACTTTTATAACAATTCGCAATGTATTAGTAAGCTAAAACTGAGCTTTTATCATTGTGTATTTTGATTGTTCCATAGAGATAACTTCAAATTATATTTAATATGTTTCAAAGTGTTTGATTGTGGAAGCTAATCAGACTCCGAGACGTAATTTGATACATTTTTAATGGGAGCTTTATGCTAGAGATGATAAAAATAGAGAAGTAAATTAGTATCTATAATATACCAGATATAAATGCTTTTCCTGTAAAATACAACAGTTACTAATTGGCTATAAAAATATATTTATATTTATCAGGGGCATTTATTAAATTGATTAAAAAATTATATGTATAATCTTAATATTCGTAATTAAAGTTAATAATTTAATTTTTTGTTTGCTTATTATGTAATTAATTATTGAATCATTGTGTTCTAATATTGTTCTTCTTTTATAATAATATTGATTATTTAATTTAAATTTATTCTTCCTTGCTAAATAACATAGAAATTCTAACCGATCATTTGGAAACTGTAAAAAAAATTAAAATCAGTTGACAAAAAAGTTAAAAATTAGATGATCAACTTGTCACTTAAGAATGCCTTTGCCACATTCATAATCTAATTAATAAAATTATAATAATCAAAAATCATTTTTTTAACCTTTTGTTAATTAAAAGGAAAATATCAGGGCGGGGAATTTCAAGCATATATAATTTAGTTAAAACTAAATGTAAACATAATTTCTTTATAATTATCATATATTTATTTCGTTTAACCTTTTATAAATATTAATAAATGCACAATTTAAATAACTATAAATGAATCGAGAAATATTAACAGCAACGTTAATAAGTTATAAATAAATTACAATCAATAATTGTATAAACTAAAATATACTATTTCTTCTTCCTATCCTGAGTACATTTTGGACAAAACCATTTTCCTTTTGGTTTAGTTGTCAAACCAACACAAGCGAAGTGGAACCATTCGATAGGGCACTGGACAAAAAATTAATCAATTATGGAAGTAAATGGGAAGATATACACATACATGAAAAATTGTCTAGAAACAGTAAAAATTTTCCATTCGCAGATTCTTTCACTACTTTTTATTCCTTATATTATAAAGAAAAGTTGCTATTTATAATAAATCCAAATGCAATATCTTATTTACATACACTATTAGAAACAGATGATAAAATTGTTATCTGACAATTACTTAAAAAATAAAGGCAAGTGAGCTAAATGCCAATTAACACGCATTAGAGAAATTTATGTAAAAAATTTCCCACTGCTGTACAGAATATCCAATTCTGAATTGAAAACATATTTTTGGTTACCAATGCATGATATTAGTTTGGCTAGAACGTGTGGATAGAGTGTTAGTTTCAGGATATTTTGTGTTAGTTTCAGTCATGAAGTATCAGAAAATAGATTTATTTGTTCATTCATTATCATTATTGTACTATCATTTGATGAATATGCATATTATTAAACATTGAAATTGAATTAATACATATCTTCTGATAAAATAAAATAAAAAGATGGTCGTTAATTACTCAAGTGAAGTTAAGCTAGACTCACCACTGCATATTATATATGTACATATATTATATATGTACATATATTATATATGTACATATATATATATATATATATATATATATATAGCAAGCAAACATATATGTCATAAATATACTGATATAAGACTTACATCTGGATTATCACATCCTATCATCTCTCCATAAGAAACTTGGTGACAGAGGCAATATGTGGGCTCATTTGGATCAACTGGCATGTCCAATACATCACTTGGGTGAGGTGCTCCATCCAAGGGAGCATCCGTATCTTTTGGACTATCAGGTGTCTTTTTATGTTTTTTGTGAGGTCTTCCTTTGCTATCAGAAGCACTGGCTTCAGCTGCTTCCTCATCAGTAACATGTCCTCTTTTTTTCTTAGCTGTTTTATCTTTGCCTCTTTTGCGGCCTTCTGTAAGTGGAATTAATATTTCTATAAAATACTGTATATCTATGTATTCTTGATGTAAATACTCTTTCATTCAATTTATTGTTAACATTAGAGTCTTTTTATACTGAATATAGTATATTTATTTAATAAACTTGCTAGTAAAACCTAATTACTGTTACTTACTTTTACTTGTAATTTCTTCATTCTTAGTTCTTCCACTCAGTGCTTTATCTTGAATTTCACCTTCAAATCTAGCTAAATCTGAATCTAATCGTCTAATATGTTTGTCAACTAATTCATATGTTTGTATTGCTAATTGCACTTTATCATCACCATATTCCTAAAATAAAATCACATTAAATATTTTCAAAAAATATTAGGTTTAAAAAAGAATTTATGGTTATTATGTTAGTATAATTTTATTAATTAGATGTATGAATTGGTGAAGGTATTCTTAGGTTAACCGTTTCTTAGGTTAACCGCTTTTTGTGAACCGATTATAAATTTTTTTACAGTTTCCAAAGATTCAGTTAGAATTTCTGTGCTATTTAGAAAAGACTTCAAATTATTTAAACAGAATTCTTATTTAATCTAATTAATCTTGGAATATAGAAATGAAAACTATTCCTAGCTTTTATTTCTTAATGATCAACTCATTTCTTTTTGTGATAATAATGAATATTATTAATACTTTTTCAAATTACAACAGTACATATTATGCAATATTTGCATCAAATAGTGCCTAATGATAAGTTGAATGAATTGTAGTACCATGTACTTTTAGATCAGCGGTCGGGAAACTTTCTTACTCATTACCCCAAAATATTTTTGTCTAAACTCATATTACCCCCATGGCAGAGAGAGATTACCCCGATATGGTCAGCTACATAGCAAATACAGTAAATATTAATAGAATATACAAATTTTTCACCCCAGAAAATCCATTTTTACCCCATTTGAGGTAATTTACTCCGTTTGCCCAACCACTGTTTTAAATTATCTTATATAAATGTTAATGATGAGTGCAAAGTTTTCAGGTCTCATTGATCAACTTATTATAAAATATCACACATAAATGTTATTAATGTAATCTCAAAGCAATAAATGTATTATATGACGATGAGTTAAGAAAAAAAGCATTTATTTTGAGGTATATATTGAATGAATGATGCACATTGTAAAGTAACTAGTAATTAATATAAAATGATTCACTTTCAATATTTTATTGTTATAAAACGTACTTTTGCTTTATTAAATAAACCCTGGATTTCTTTTAGTTTTTCCTTTTTGGCCTCACTGGACATCTTAGGAAGTTCTGTTAAATAAGTTTCTGCAATTTCATCTATATTTCGCATAATTGATTGAGCTCTTGAATCCAAATCTCGCATAAGAGTGAAATTTCTTTGAAGCTCGATAGGCAAATGCTCTAAACCTAAAATTGACCGTGTATATAAAATATTACTATTTCATTTCACACAAAATATAATCGTTCTTACTATCTAGATAATGTTCTAAGTATAATGCAGACGTCATTTTAATTAATTTATGTTACACCATAACAGAAACTGAAATTAAAGAAAACAAAAACTGACACAATACGATTAGTTTGTCTACTCTAGAAATTGACATTTCTCATTTTGTTTTCATTTCAACCATAGATAAAAGAAGAGGAAGCCAATGAAGTTGGCTGCAGTTACTATATTAACGGATATTTTCTCGTAGATGGCAATGTTCTCGTTAGTTCTCATAATGTTGGTTATGTTGGTCGATGTTGACAAACATGTATTGAACTGTCAAAGATGATTTGTAAGAGCATATTTAAACAAAATTTTATAGTATTATGTCTTAAAACAGCGCAATTTGTGCATTTTATTAACGTCTCATCGTGTATTTTTAAACCACTATAATTTTAAGTTAGACTGTAGCCGAGATAATGGCTCTTAAGACTTCTACGCACTCCATTCCCGAGGATATTTTGGATGATCTCAGTAGCAGATTTATAATAAACGTACCAGAAGAAGAAAGAAACAATTTAATTCGTATTTGCTTTCAAATAGAATTAGCACATTGGTTTTACTTGGATTTTTATTGTACAGACGAAGAAACAAAATTATTAGCCTGTGGGTTGAGGCAATTTGCAGCCCATATATTTAAGGTAGTATTTTCTATAACATTAGTTAAAAATTGAGAAACCAAAAATCTCACACAAAAAATGTCATTGAAATTGCTTAACCAAAATTAGTTTTCATTGTATATATATTTGCATATGTGTAGAAAATCTTCAAAGGCTATATAAAGCACAAATTGCTTGAAATAAGTTATCGATCTTTAGCAAATATTTCATGAAGAAGTTTTGCAAGATCTTTTTTCACATGTTCGCAAAATATTAGTATCAGTACTAGAAATATAATTACTTATAATACATCGATTCTAAACTCATCAAACAATTATCATTGTTTTTATATAGTTTTTAATTATTGTAATTTTTTTTTTCACTTCAACTATGAACTCTTACCTACACACCTTTTTACATAGTATGTTATGTATAAGTTAAATGCATTAATTTTTATACCAGATTTACTTGCCTTTAATTAAAATTGTTATTCGAGATTGGCAACACTATTATCTGTAATATTTGTCTACATATATATTAATCTAAATGTATTAAATGCTTACTGAGATTAATATTTTATTACCAGCACATACCATTTCTTCAATGCCATCATGCAAACTTAGATGCCGTGTTAGATTCATGGCGAGAGTATAAACTATCTGTTCCAACTTATGGTGCTATCTTACTGAGTGAAAATTATTCACATGTATTATTAGTACAATCCTATTTAGCAAAAAGTTCTTGGGGTTTTCCAAAAGGAAAAGTAAATGAAGATGAAGACCCTTCCCACTGTGCTATAAGAGAGGTTTATATTTTTCATACTTTATTTCTATTTACTACTTACAATTAAACTTATATATTAAATGATTTAATATATGAGTTGTACATGAAATATCTAACTGAAACTAAAATATTTCATATATTATTGTATATTTCAAGACCAAAAAATTACATTTTTATTAATAATCTATCTATATCAAATTTTCAAGTATTCTAATATATGTAATCATGATTTATCAGGTGCTTGAAGAAACAGGATTTGACATTTCAAAACTAATAAATGAGGACGAATATATAGAAACAGTTGTACATGATCAATTTGTCAGATTATATATAATAGGAAATATATCAAGAAATACAAAATTTCAGCCTAGGACTCGTAATGAAATCAAGTCTTGTGAATGGTTTCCTTTAAGTGATTTGCCATCTAATAAAAAAGACATGACGCCAAAAATAAAAATGGGTGTAAGTGCAAATTCATTTTTTATGATTCTTCCATTTATCAAAAGAATTAAAAAGTGGGTGTTTGATAAAACACAAAAGAAAGCACAAAACTGCAAAAGACATCGTCACAAATCTATGGGTGATTTTGATGTTCTAGCAAATAAAATAAAAACTGGAACAAGTTCCAATGATAATGATATTACTGTTCCATTAAAAAATTTATCAATCAAAAAAGATAAAAATGCTAAACCAAATTTCAAGAGACAATTATTCAACAATAATCAAACAATTTTAGTTCAAGAAATAATCTCACCGTTGTGGTTGAATTTTAAATTTAATAAGCAAGCTATATTAGATTCCATATATTGATTTAATATATAATTTCTTTTTAAATAAATTTAGAAATTGTTCTTTTATGATAAATTTTATCTTGGTTTTAGCAGCTGTATTTTTAAAATATTGTTAACTTACTTTTCTGTTTTTTTTTAATTTTAATTAAACGATTTAAAAAGATTTTTTTTTCTGTAAAAGTTATAAAATGCCAAAAACATGATAATGATAATAAAAAAATACTTGAAGATTTTTTTTATTTTCAGAATGTATTTTTTTAAAATGAAGCAAATTTATTCAAAAATTCTAGATTGTTACAATTCACAATTTAGTATATCTAATATTATTGTTCCAAGTTGTATGTATTACAAATTTATTTTTTATTACTATTTTATCTTATGATCAAAGAACTATATATGAAAATTATTATGTTGAGCAAATATTTAAACTTTGGACTGCAAAGGTTCAAAATTGATAATTTTTTCTGTGAAGAACTTGTTAGTATTTATTGTTTACATGATTTATGGTATGTCCAACTTAACTTTATCTTCAATTTAAAAGAAAAAAAAAATACTTTCAAAAAGCTTATAAATTTTTTGACCCATTTATGATGTAAATATTGAATTATCAATAACAACTGTACTTAAAATGACTTAACTCGAAAATGAATACACATTTTTTTTTCAATGAGAACCATTTGTTTAAAATATGAAAAAAAAAGTATTTCTTTTTCTGAAATTGTTCTGATTTTAAATATCAAAAAAACAAAAAAAAAAATAGAAGCTGTGTTGAAAATATATTCAACAACTATTTATTCAGAATTATGCACAGCTGTTTAACTAAATATTTATGAATTATATTTAAGAAAGTATTGCAGTCTAAATTTAGACTACTTAAGTTATGTTTTTATGGGATTTTTTAAAAGCAATAAACAAGCAAATAATAATTTACTATATTTTTTTCAAGTTATTAAATAATGCCTTATGAATACAGAAAAAAATTAAAATTAAAAACAGTCAAAAAGTTAGAATTCTACCGGGTGATGAAATGGAAAGTATCAAAAACTAGGTACTTTACCATACCCCTGATTTTAGCCCTCCAAATAATATGAAAAAAGAAAAGATTATTTATCTAGAATGACATATTCACCATTTTTAGATATTCTCGATTTATATTAAATAATAAAAATCTAAAATTGGGGAAGAGCGAAGCTTATATTAATGAGTAGTATTTACAGAAGACTGGAAAAATTTGAAGAAAATTAGTCCAGTTGAGATATCGTATCAGAAAAGACAGATTCGAGAAAAATACTTTTAAAATATCGCGAAGGAAGTAAATAGAGATAAATAGGAAGAATTATCATAGTTACTCAATACATTTTCATTAAAATTCTTAATATAGAAGAACAAAAACGAAATAAAAGCTGCAAATTTTAATCACAGTTACCCAAAAATAAGTCAAACATATTGTAAAATAATGAACGAGGTAATGCAAGTATTCAACATACTAAATAAACGCGATTTACTTTGTAAGTTTGCAGAGAGACTAATGATGGAGACGTCTCGATAGTGTTATTTGCAAATGAGGGCATAACTGTTTATTCCTTTTATGACTACCGTATACAGGGTATACGGAAATAAAGGATATAAGTGAAAATCTCGTGCACCGTATTACGGATCCAAAAAGATTGATCAAATTGATGTTTTCAATAAACTTCTAAAAAGTCTAAACAATTGAATGGTAAAATCATGATTATAGGCACGTCACCGTAATTAATTTTAATATAAAATAAAAATAATTTTATACTCTCAATTCAAAATAATATGTTGTCATTCCCAATAAATATAACTAAAGATGAAAATACGTATTAATTAATTAATATCTCAAGCTTTTGAACGTACTTAAGATAATCACGAAATTGCTAACTCCTCGAAAAATGTGTTTTATTAGAACTCTATTTAGCTATACAGTTTATTGTTTAGCGGTTACTTGTAAAATAATAATAATAATAAATAAATTTACGTATAAAATTAAATTAAATACACTTGACGGCGCTTAAAAACAAAATAAAAATTTTTAAAGCGACTATGCATTAGCTTACAAAGTCGGCAATAATAATAAAAATTAAACTTACCGTTAACGTATCGCATAAAATCCAAAATCCTCAGGAAAGTAGGGCTGACCAGTGTAACACCTTAAGCTGGTCGACAACAAAATCACACTGTTCATTGGTACACTTGTGTGAAATGATGATTTACTGTCCGTTTTTCAAACTTAGAATAAAAATAAAGTTACCACCCCAGATAAATAAGCATTAATAAGGTTACCACAACAGGCCGTTACCTCTACCTCCTACTGCTGACATCTGTGCGATATATATCTTTACAACCGTTTATATGCTGAAGAGATGTTAAATTTTCAAATATTAATTGGATTTACAAGTGCTTTTACAAAAAAAACTAGTGGTATGAACTCATATGCAAAAATTGCAGATGAGCATTTATTGCTTTTCAAATTTTAAAATGCTTTAAATTTCAATAAGTTTCTTAACATACAAAACAACTGTTCTTACCAAAATATTCAGTTTAGTTACCATTATCTTTATCGTCATACAAGTTTGCCTTAAAATCGCCAAAAAATATTTTTTTTAATAATCAATAATGAAGATAAAACTAATCAGCACGATTTCCAATTGATATCCGAATAGTTATTGAATTTTCAAAATTTCTCTTTCAACTAATTTTACATTATATGGAACGTATAATTTTATTAAATCTGGTAACATTATGTTTTTTAACTTCCCGAAGGAGAAGTTTATGTTTTCATAAAAAAATCCTATTCGCTCATTTTATGTTTTCTCGGCGTTTCAAGCCATTCTGAATCGAATGAGACCAAATTTGGAAAAAGTATGTGTGCGTGTGTGAACAGATTTTTTGCTGCAAATTGACGTTTTCTCAAAAACGGCTGGACCGGTTTCAAAAATTTAAAAGCTATTCGATGTATTTCGATGAGGACTGGCGTTTCTCAGTTTTGTTCGACGATCGGCCAAACCGTTTCTTTGTAAATCGCAGAAAAGTGAAAAAAATTTTGTCCACGTTTGAGTCCGCAATTCTGAATCGCTTTCGAAAATTCAAAAACCGTTCGAACCGTTGGGAATCGTGCTGATTAGTTTTTGGTAGAGATCGGCCGGGCCGTTTTCTTGTAATAAAGTGTTAAAAAACATTCGACAATTTTTATGATTTTTTTTGACGGTGGATACCATAGTCTTATAGATCATACTAAAATATCACCGCCCTACGACAAGTCGTTTAATTTTAAAAATTCTTCAAAGTTTGCAAAAATTAGTATAATTTTTTTGGCATTTGTCAAAATTAGACTTTTCATCGACGTTCGCTCAAATACGCCTGCGATTTCAGAAATTTAAAAGCAATTTAATGTATCTCAAAGAGGACATCATCAAAGATTTTACCAACCCTTTGAGAGTTGATTTTAATTTTGAAGATGTTGATAAATTTGTATTTTTCTTGGCTTGGTATGAAGATTAAATACAATCTATAAAATACGTGCATTATATTGATTAATTTCATTTATTAAACGCAGTAAATTTGCATTTGAATACCCAGCCCCTTATTATCCAACCCTACCTTGTACTTGATGCAATTCCTCAAATTACATATATAAAAGTTAATTAAAACTTATCAATTTGTGACTATTAATCTGAAAGATATTTTTACAACAAGTTAATCACAATCGATACGAAAATTGATGGCACAGAAAAAAGTATGTAACAAAAATAATTTATTTTTTCATATGTACATACTAATATATACACATAAGATATCTAAGATATATATCCTTGTATATATGTATTTACACATTATTGTGTATAATTACAATCTCATGATGAAACATTTGATGTGTTATTCAACTTCACGTAATATGCATGGCACGTTTTACGGTGTCGCTTCAATAATTTTACTATTACAATAGTTACAATAACACCCATAACAGCTATTGAAATAACACCCAACATACCGATAATTATCATACTTTTTGTTTTTTCATAATTGAAGTCTTTTACTTGCATATTCCTTATCACCTGAGCGCACCTGGCATGCGGTCCAGGAACACTATGACCAGCCAATGCAACGCATACTGTGTATGGACCCTCCAAGAATCCCTGCATATAAAAAATTTAAATATTAGTCAAAATGTTTTTTGACTTGGTTCTTGCATGAAAATGATACAAAATTTGATTTTCAAAAAGTAGGATTAACTGATAGTTTGTTTTGCGAAACCGGGCGAGCAGTTTCTTTAGAATTAGCAGAAAAATGCAAAAATTTTCGGCCATGTTTTTGCAAAAAATTCTTAACCGATTTTGAAATTTAAAAACCAATAGAAAGAAAACAGAATAGTTTTTTGCAAAAATTGGTTCGACCGTTTCATCGTAATTAAAATTTAATAAATATCAAAAAGCTTTTTTTATGATCCATGATAATTTACATGGCATCCATGGTTTAAATAAACTTAAAATATTATAGACCTATGGAATAATAAACAGCGCTTTCAGGATATATTTGTTTGAACAATATCAAGTGGAAAACTAGTTTTAGTAAAAGCGAATATTTTATTCTCAAAATAAAGGTTTGAAACTTTATCTTAATAGATATATCTCGATTATTATTAATGTGATATTCAAGCAACTTCCATTAAGGCAAAATGCCGCTTGCATCTAGTTTTAAATTGTATTTCAATTAGTCAAATAAAGATGCAACTAAAAAGAGTAATGCAAATACATATTTTAAGGGCCCGCGGGTAAGAAGATCCGCTGCTATCTCAAAAACAAGTAAAGTATAGAATTTTTTAATGATATGTACTATTTTAAAGTAGAAGCAAAAGATGTGTAATTACCTATCACCTTAACCCTCCGTCGGTCGGATATTTTTTCACCTTCGAACGGTCGGAAAGGTCTGGCTGGACCACCATTCATTTTACATGCATTTATATGGGATAAATGAGTTTTTGGTGTCTTATATGTTAACGATTATTAGTAGTAAATATTTATAGTTTTGATTTTTTCTGTTTCTTACCGTCTTTTGCATGTATTGAGCTTGCTTATAATAAAAAAATATATATTATATTATATAAAAAAATCAAAGATATAAAAAAATCGTTGCTTTTTTTATTATTTTTATTTGTCTGTTTTATATCAATGAAAAACAATATTTATTCTTTTTCGGCTCCTTCGAAATGAATGTGAAATTCAAATGAATACGAAATGAGGTGCGTCGCCTTTGAAATAAGCTGTAAAATTCAAGTTGAAAATATAATTTCACTACAGGTTTGCCAAAAAAATTTCGAATGCAGTACTACGGGTAGAAAAATTGTTGATAATGTGCGCATTACTCATCCGATTTTCAGAGTTTGTGATTACCAATAAGTTTGATAGGTTTTCCAGGAATTCTCGTCATGAAAATACTAACATTCATGTTACAACCATGTACCAATCAATATCCATAATAGAAGTATTTTTTTTATTTTTTGGTTTTGAGCTCTTTTATTCAAGAATATGAAATCAAGATTAGAAACAGTGTGATATTTGTCAAAAATGTGCTGTCGAGAACTATGTATCTATTATAATGTTTTATGTTATCCTATCTTCATTAAGATAAATTTGTAATTTTAAGTTGTAAGTTGGTACCAAGTCCAGCATTTATATAAAACTTATAAATCGACCCATATTCGTACAATAAGAGTCGAATCAGATAAAACTGATTATTATTGAGCGGGAGGTTAGTTGCGATTAAACCGCCAACAAGTACAGACTAAACTATCAATACTCAATCATGTAAGTTATAATTTAAAATAAAGCCAATAAATCTTAAAAAGTGTTTGTTTTTACATATAAAGAAAAGAACCAATAATTAATACCCATCAAAGTGAAATTTGTATTTCGCATAGGTTAAATAATTTGAATAGTAATTAAATTAAAAGTTAAATAACAATCGAAAATTAACTTGGACAGACCACATAAAAAGAATGAAAAAAAGATAGTCGCTCTAACAGGAGTACTAAAGAGAATACACTACTTTGGAATAAAACATAAAATTTTAATACTGAAAGCGCACATAATGCCTATAATCGTGTATGGAATTGTAACATGGAGTCCAACCACAAATAATATAGAAAGCATTCAGAGAATAATAAATAAAGTAACAAAAATAACCTATAATCTCCCCTATTTCACACCTACTAAAGAAGTTCAATATGTAACAGACAACCTACCATTAAATAAAATTATTAAATTAAAAAAGTGCATAAGATTAAACATAACAAAACTAAACATGAAAATTTTCATTTAAAACAAGCAAGAACCAATAAAACGAGCGGAACACTATTTGGAGTGCTATGAAATTATTCAATGGGCTTCCGAAAGAGATAAAGATGACCAAAGAAGAAAATAAAGTTAAAATTCAATTAAAAGATTATTATAAAGATAGAAAAATAAATTAGACCGAAGTTTGAATATACAAATGAATACACATATGTTTGAATTATAGAAAAAGTGATATAAAATGTTTGTAATGACATTTTAAATCAAATAATACTATTGTATAGATGTTTTATACGATCTCTCATACCAGACACTTCCGTCTGTCTGAGATGTATGAAATTTATAATTTCAATAAAAAAATGCCATTATTTCGTAAAATCTATTTAAAATCATCTGCTTGCTTCCAGGCTGTCCTTTTTTACCCCGCTTCTGGGATAAAAATATACAGACGACATAATTGAGAAAAATAGTAAAAATACATATTTCTATAATTAGGAATTAACTGAGAATTTTACTAAATATAAGGTCTGATAGTTGTTTATAGAAAAAAAATTGAAGATCGAATTTTTTTAAAATGCACATATACATTTTAAAAATATTCAATATATTCATCAATCAATAAATATTTCCGATTTACCTGTAATCTGACTAGTACATTGCACGGTGCATCCCGTCGGGCAATAACGCTACCCTGAGCGAGAACCGCAACCCCCAACTCGCAGGAGTCTTTGTCCTGGTTCCTTTCTATTGCCTTCACCAAGGCATCAGTATTTTTGTGAACTGATACCCGCAATCGCAATTCTCCTGCACCGCTGATGGCGGAACTGACAAAACCAATAGTTGAACTTGGAGATTGAGACTGAAAATCGAAATAAAGGCATAAGATTATATTTGATACTATATCTATTTGTTAGATAGAAGAAAAAACTAGCGTGGAGCATGGCATCGTGCCTTAAGGCAAATTGCTGGAACTTCCCGTACCGTGATTAAAAATCTTGGTACGAAACCCAAAAAAAATTACAAAAAATGTGTACCCTCTAAATCTTTATAAAATATCTAATAATTTCATGTACTGTAATGTAATTGACCAAGCATAATCAAATGAAACTAATACAGTAAATACATTATAATATATAGTATTTAAATAGAAAATTACAGATTTTGTACCACTGCCCTTCCCTCATTAATCAACCCCAAATTGTATTTAGTCCCATGTTGGAGCGTTTTCAACGTACAAGTTCAAAGTATAGAAAAAAAACACATACACACATACATCCATCTTTTCTAAGGTATGCCAAAATGTTCAGACACTTCTAAAACGTAAAGATATATAAACATTTTCATTTGCGATTTTTTTGTGATTACTATAACTTACCCTACGGGAAGTTGATAAATTCATTTAAACTTTGTTTGGTAAATGAGAACTGCATAAATTACAATGATGATGTTTGCAAATTTTATATTAATATTAGGTATAAAATTTGTGAAGAATTTCGGAATAACAGAACCCAAATAGTAGCATTATACGGAGAAATATGAACATTAAATTTAATTCAGAGAAGTATTCAGAGAATAAATGAACTCCGTTTCCAGGAACAATAACTAGTAAATTTGAAAACATATTTGGAAATATTTATAGCCCACATTTAGTAAGCATATTGTGCATGAAAATTTGCCCTAATACGCAATTGTAAATTAAATATATTGCCTTTTTTTAAGTAACCTGTGTCACTCTCAATAATGATGTTTGCAAATTTATATTATATATAAAATTTATGAAGAATTTCGGAATAATAGAACCTCATCTTGTATATTGTGCATAAAAATTTCTTCATTTGCCCTAATACGCATTTGTAAACCTAGGTCACTCTCAATGTTGATGTTTGCAAATTCTGTATTATATATAAAATTTATGAAGAATTTTTGAATAACAGAACTTCATCTTGTATATTGTGCATAAAAATTTGTTTACTTGGCCTAATTCGCATTTGTAAATTAAATATATTGCCTTTTTTAAGTGGGCAAAACCGTCTCAGAGTCAATGATATTAATTTACTTCAAAATTAACTTTATATAAAAAATATTTTTTTCAATATATTTAAACTAACAATAATTAATAAAGAGGATAAAATTCTTTATAAAGTATATATATAATGGATTCTTTAACACAAACGCCATAATCTCGTTTATAGCATTCTTCTATTTATAATGATTAATTATCACTGAAAAATATCAATAATTATTCAAACAATTCCGATATATATAAATGATAATTTTTGTATAATATATCAATGTAATGATTTATCAATAAAAATATAGACTTAATTTATGTTTGCAATCAATTCAAATTACTGTTGTTAAAAAATGTGCAGTATATTTATTATCAAATACTTATCTTAAAAGATATCAAAACTGTTTTTAAGTGAATGATGCAGTTTCTAAATATAATATTAGAACCTGAAGGCTAACTATACTATTTCATCACTCTGAAGTTTTATGAGAATGTTCTTGTAAACTTATTTTTTATTTTTCTATATGAATGCAATGATTTATCAATACAAAAATATAGATAAAATTTATGTCTGTTATCATTTCAACTGTAGTATTGTTAAAAAAATGTGAAGTATATTTAATTACAAATACATATTACGAAGATATCAAAACTATTTATTGAAGTGCATAGTGCAATTTCAAAATATAATTTTAGTATAGACTCTATACTATATTAGTCATTATTAGTTATTAGTTATAGTCTCTATACTATAGAGTATAGACTATGACTTTAATACTTCATCACTTTTACGATTTTAGAGAATCTTTACATAAACGTTTTGATGCATATTTGCGGTATATAAAATGTAATCTTGTAATTTAAACTCTTGTATTTCTATAAGTAACAAGAAGAAAATGAAAAAAAACTGTCTCTGTCTTTCAACTATAAAGTGGTTTTAGAAAATTATGACATTGAATAACAAAACAAAAATTCATATTTTTACCTGTTCACCGTTTTTATATAATTGTATAAGATCACTGCATCCGATAGCAAAGTTAACGTCATCACTTGCTTCTTCTGTAGATCTTGTTAATACCAAACAATACCGATAAAAGCCACCTTCTTGGAGATCTAAACTTCCAGGTACTGCCAAAGTAACTCTTCGCCAGTTATCATTACTAAAATAGAATATCACACTTAATTATAATAAAATCATGTAATCAAAATGTTAACACAAAAAAAGTTCTTTACCTTTTGTCAACATCTTTGTTAATATTTTTCTTCGGGCATCTAACTGGATTTGAGTCCAACAAAACTTCATCTATGTGACCATATAATTTCGACTCGTATACGAAAATAGCATCACAAGAAAAAGATGGTCCAGGAGCTATTCCCCATGTTAGAACTACACCGGATTCAGGAGTATAGTTGTATTGATATAGATGTATCTGAAATAAAATAAATAATATTTTACACACAGATAAAACAAAATTTTAAGTATTTATTTATATTACTAACCGATTTGGATATAGGCGGTAGTCCTGGTATTGTGGGCATGACTTGTTTGCCTTCCATAACAATGCTTGTGATTGTTTCTTTATTAGTTATTGGATCATCGTCTATGCCATCGCAATTAAGATCTTCTTCTTTCGTAGAAATTAAATGACCTCCAGAAAGACGAGCTGGAGTTGCGCATATTGCAGAACGTAAACCACGATGATCGCAATTTTGACAATGTCGAAGCCATGATGCGAATTCGCGCATAGTGCATCCACATTCTAGAGGATTGTCTAAAAAGGTAGAACATGATTTTAAAAACTATTCTTGAATAATTTTAAAAGCTGTTTTTGAGGAACTGTCGAACAAGGGGCTGCATCCTGCTGGCTATAGTAAGTAAATAGTAGCACGTATTATACGCCAAAAATTAAACATTAAATTTTAATTGAAGAAGTAACCAGAAAAAAATTTACTTCGTTTCCATGAACAATAACTGGTAAATTTGGAAATCTTTATAGCCCACAGTAAGTACACCACATTTGTTAGCTACCACATTTTTTCGACAATAAAATCTTTAAGTTCTTCAAAAATAAGACATATGTGAAAGGTGTGCTTATGATTTTGTGAATGATCTCTAATTACTCAATGATAATTAAATGATTTCTTAGTTGCTATTTTAAGAAAAAGATTTATATTAGCAAATTCCTTGAAAAATTATCATAATTATAATTGAAAATCAGAAACAAATTAAAAAATTAAGTTGTGACATTATTATATATATTATATATAATAAAGTCACAACTTATTTTTTATATAATATATATATATATATATATATATATATATATATATATATTTAATGTGATACTTAGTATCATAAGCTGAGAGATAACAAGATATAAAAACTTTAAAATTATCAAGTCAGTATCTAGTTACATCTGCAGACTTCATAACAATATAAAAAATACAGCCTTCCAAATCTATTTCATTATTCGCTTGATAAAAAATAGAAAGTTTTGAAAAGTAAAATATATGGAATGCATAATTGATTTATCACATATTGATTAAATTATGCTTCTAAGCAATTGAAGCAAAAAAAAATTGTATTTATTTAAAAACCATGCGTCAGATAGAAGATTCTTGTTTAATTAGGAATCTAGAGGCTTGCTGTTGCAACAAACAAACCTATATAAAATAATATGTCAAAAGTCAACTTAGAACATTAGAAAAGATTGAAACAGAAACATCGAAAAAGACGATTAGTTACAATTTACCCACCTGCCAATTGCAATACTTTTAAATCTGGATTAAGAAGTTTTGGAACACCTTCTTCAACTTTTGCTATATCGTTTTTATTTAGCCACAATTCTTGTAGATTATTTAATGAAACAACTAAGTCAATACTTATTGTTCGTAAATTATTGAAATTCATTTGAAGCACCCGTAAATTTGTCAAACCTCTCAATGACCAACGTGATACTGATACAATTTCATTGTGCGACAAATCTAAAATCTTTAAAAAAAATATTTTTGATCATTCATAACATATATATATACATATATATATATATATATATATATATATATAGACAGTTTTTTTTTGAATAAAGTGTCTTTAAATAATTTTACCTGTAAATCAGAAAGAAGCAAAAATGCTCCATCTTCTAAAACGTCGATAGAATTGTGAGATAGATTCAGCGTTTGTATTTGAGGACATCCTGAAAAATGTAATAATATTTTATAAAAGTGTAGCAGCTTTAAACTAATTCCACTAAAATGTAATTCTAATTTATTACCTGCCAGACATCCACTTTTTACGCTTTTGATGCGGTTATTTTGAAGTAAAAGTACTTCCAAATTTGGCAAATTAGGCATAAGCTCTTCGTCGACATGGCCATTAATTTGGTTATGCGATACATCCAATTCTCGTAAAGTTGGAGAATCGCCCAAAGCAATAAGAGCATCTTTGGTCAAATTATTTTTTCTCAAAATCAGTTCTTCTAAATTGTATAAGCCATTAAACGTACCAGCCGCTATGGCGCGTATCGAATTTTCAGATAAATCGATATGTTTTAAATATCGCAAATTCTGGAATCAAAATATTGATAAAAATATTAACTAACTACTAAGCTTTCAGTTGAATAATGCTAGTTTTTGTTGAATTATTTGTCTAAAAATTATCCAAATATATAAAATTCACAGATAAACAAAATAATCATGAATCTACTTACTTGAAAATCATCAGTGTGCAACTCAGATATTGAATTCTGTCGTAAATCCAATGTTTGCAAATTCATTAAAATAAATAAAGCTAAATAAGGAACAGACTCCAGTCTGTTACCTGCTAAACCTGTAAAAAGCATTTATGATGATCAATAAATATAAGACTTTAACAAAATATAAGAATATATTTTGCAACCATATTAAAGGCAAAGCATATAGTCTTTGATGAAGATGCTTAAAGGATTTCATGAAAAAATCATATAAAAAATTAATTTTTGAGCACTTGAAACAAAAAAAAAATTCCGATAAATTTAACATGATGTACAGATTTCTGTTCGATCCACCAAGAGATAAACATGTTTAACTTGTTCTTATTTTTAACGTTTTTATCCATATCTTAATTTATTGATTAGAACAATTTTTCAACTATTGTATAGAAACAATTTTTCAACTATTGTATATTCATTGTATAGAAAGTATTGACCATTCCATCCAAACAATCAGAAACAGTTGATATATTGTTGGCATATTTATCCAGATGTGATTTCGATCGATTCTTAAAATTTGGTTTACCGTCACAAAAGATTTCTGTTTCATTTTATTAAGTATTTTTTCCAATTGTTTCTTAAGCAACAAATATTTATTTCAAAGTACCACATACCTAAATGATTCAGCTGATTCCTAAAACTAAAAAAGCTAGACTGGTCTAATCCTTGAAGACCAGAAGTTGATGATACGGCCAATCTGGGTACAGAGAGTTGACCAATTCTAGTCGATATATCACCAACATAAGAAGTGTTACTTTCTAATAATATTTCGAGCAGCTCAATTGTTCCATTTGGTAAAAAATATACAGACTCCAACACTTCTTCGTAAAAATTTGGATTCGAGCCCGTGCAATGTAATACCCGGGGAATCGTACATCGGCAGTTTTCTATACTTGGGCATTCTGGTGCAAGAAGATCACTCCAGGCACTCCTTGCCATTAAGAGAAGGAGCAGCAAGATATATGTCGACATGGCGCTGAAAAAAATATTATATTATATTAGTGAAAACATTATTATGTTTAAAAAGTTTATTGATAATCATTGAATTCTCAATATTATTTACTTTCAAGTAAAAGATAACATTTAAATCGGGAAAGTTAGTAAAATTTTGTTTATTATTTTGGATTGGATATAGATGTTGTCTTCTAATAATCAGGCATTGCACCAATAAAAATCGTACGAATTTTTATAAGTTTATTTGATAGTTTGGGTCTATAAAAATAAACTGATGAACTGTTATGTCAGGATCATAACTCTGTACGAATCAGAGACATGGACTCTGAGGAATGCCGACAAGATCTATCTGGAGAGTTTTGAAATGTGGTGCTGGAGGCGAATGGAGAAAATAAAGTAGTGGACTGGCAGGATAACAAATGAAAAAGTCCTGAGAAGAGTGGGCGAAGAAAGGACTCTACTGAGCACGATACTTAAAAGAAAAGGAAACTGTATCGGACCCATTCTGCAAAAAGAGTGTCTCCTGCACGACGTCGTCGAAGGCAAAATAGAAGGACTGAAAGAATTTGGAAAAGAAAGAATGTAGATGTGGTTGATGCCTTATGCGAAAAGAGAAAATACAGAGAACTGAAAGGCGAAGCACAGGACCAGGAAGCATGGAAGCAGAAGTTTAGAAAGGAAAATTTATAAAAATGAATATAAAGTGATTAATGGTCATTAATTAATGGTATTAAGGCGGTAATGGAAATCATAAACAAGGGAGAAGAAGAAAATCATTGATTTTGTGATGCTGTCATACTATGGACCTGTCATATTATTATGTATGTATATATATATATATATGCATATATAAATATATATATATATATATATATATATATGTATGTATATCTGTGTATGTGTGTGTATATAAAATGTTTAATTACATTGTCTTATGCATGTGCTCAACACCTTTACGTTGCCTTATAAATGTGATATACACTTTCGCATTGTATATGCCTTATAAATATGATATATGTACACTGGTGTATCACATTTATTTTTAAAAATTCACAGGTATTTAAAAAAGTGTAAATCAAAAATATTGTCTGAAATCATTTCTATTAAATAAATTCATTTGTTGTCAATCGTAACTATGCTTTAATCTGGACGCTGCAATATTATTATAATTCCTGAGAATTTTATGTTAAAGGCTAAAGCTCATTTCATATAATTTTCTGTACTTTGGTATTTTAATTTTTTGATTGTACTGACTCTATTTTATCTAAAAACTTTTGTGATTTGTGAGGTCAGTACATTACCAAGAATATAATCTAAACAACAAAATGTTATCGTCTCTCTCTAAATAAAGTTCAAATAATTAGCAAACCTATTATAGGTCTCTCTAGAATAGCAAAATTAAGCAGACAAAATAAATCTTTAAGAAATTGCGGTTTATTTTCACTCATCTAATTAATTCTAAATGATTCCTTTGTATATTACCGAATAATTTATTAATTCAGTTCTATATTTTACTAACTATAATTAAGCTTGATATTGGACCGAATGACTAATTACTGAACCTTAACATTGCACCATTTAGTTTTCATTTCAGTTAAGGAATTAAAAAATTAAGCCCCATTACAATTAATTTATAGTTTATATAAATTTGTCTTACATATTAATCTTTATATTCTCTTTTTCTGTTTCTTAATAAATGTAACGAGTATATGATTTATGAAGGTATGAATGAAATTAGATCATTCAAATTTAGGCATCATTTCATTGCATACGCATTGGACATTGACTCGATTTAAACATCGGGATGTTGTTTTGTATTCATAGTTTGATTTGATTACTCAATTGTGCATGTATTATTCTATAAATGATATTGCAAAAATAGAAGAGGTCAGTCCAGGTCAAACGGTTAATGACAATATCATCAAGAGAATGTAACAAATTAGAAAATTATGAATTTAGAGTTTGGTTTCTATTTTATTATTTTTAAATGTGAAGAGTAAATTATTTTTAGCACGTTAATCGCCACGATCATATAAGAAAAAATTTTCACGTGCGTTAAGGTAACTTTATGAGAAAATATAGTATAAAATCTTTAGACATATATGTCTGACATAGCTCCGACTTTTAACCTCAAATTTTCTTTCATCGTGGTTATTGGCACGTAACCAATTATTGTCTTATTCTAATTTTGATAGATTTTGTAACAAGCAATCCAATAGTTAACCTTTTCTAATTATACTGATATTTAAACTTTTTTGCAGGAATGTCGAATTGGAAACATATTTCTTAAATAAGTGAAAAGGAATATCACTGTTGGATATCAGATACCAGATTTCTATTTGGATGATATTTCTATAAAACCGAGTTTTTATGGATAAAATTCGAAAACAGTTCGGAATTCCTATTTATTTCAATTTGAATTAAGAAATATATTCATTAGTAAGTTTTATAATATTCAATATTTTGGAAGATATCGCAGTTTTCCATACTTTTTTCTACTCCGAATTTTTTACTATCTATCACTAGGTTCTTAATTACTTATAGCTTACTATAATAAAAACTGTGTAATAAATAAAAAGATTTCACTTTCCTAGAAAAGTCTCAACTTTTCAATATTTCATTAAATGTATGAGCCAAATCAGGCTTTTTTTATGTTTTGAATACAGTTGGGCATGGGAATACAGTATAGATGCAACCAAAAAAAAATTATCAGTATTAAAGATTTATTTTAATAATAAATCAGAACATTAGTTATAATTGAAATTAATGAAATATAATTATAGATAGTAGTTACCCCAGTGCGTATGTACTATTAGATGCAATTTTACTGGATCAATGCCATAATTTTTTTAGTCTTCTGGTGTATGGAGCAGTGGAGCAACGAGTGCATTGGGGTGATTTTCTAATTTTTGATGATCATTAGTCAATCCTGTTTTTATGAAGTTTTTAATATAAGTTCATGAGTTTTATTGCTCATGAACCAGTATTAAAATTAGCAACAAATTCATAAAAAAGAGATAGACCCACCATTGATTTGCCATCTATAAAGAAAGCTCAGTCATTAAAAAGTCGTCATAGCAAGCTTATCTAGTTGCTTTTAATAAAATATTACAAAAATAACTATGGAGTGTTTTTTCCAAGAGCTTCTGAGTTCAGATTTCTATGATAAATATTTTCATTGAACTTGTTGGTTAGGTCGTGTTTGTAATGGTCAGAGTAATAGTGTTACTCGTAATTGTAATGGGATTACCTATTTATTAATTAGGCGCATTATTAACTTCTAGTAAAGTAAGTTGTAGTAAACGCAAAAAATCGAAAATTAAAATTGTTATATATCTTTACTTTTCAAAGATATCTGAACATTTTGGCATACCTTAGAAAAAATGGGTCTGGCCCAGAAAACCAATGAAAAAAAAGTGATAAAAGTGCCATTTGGAGGTCAGAAATGATCATTAGGCATATGCACATCAAACTATCATAAATTTTATAGAGATTTTAATAATAAGTATACATTTTGTTTACATTTCTATGGGTTCCGTACCAATGCTTATCCGTTATACTGCAACGCAGCGCCCACGCGCTTCGATATTTCGTTTCTTTGCAGCTAACGTATGGCGAATGCTTTGAAAAATAATTCAAAATTTCCAAAATATTTCATAGCATAAAAAAATCTAATTTTTGAAAACTGTTAATATTCTTCAAAAATTTAAAAAACTACAAAAATCGATTATTTTCAGAGTTCTAAAAGAAAATTGAGTCTTTTAAAATTCCATTTTTGGTACGGAAAGCTCCAGCAATTTGCCTCAAAACACGATGCCATGCACCACTAGTTATGTTTCAAATCAGTTTGTAGTTTACGTTGTTTTTCGTTACTGATACGAAATATTGGGCAGTATCTGCACCATAATTTTAATTTATGGTTTCATTGATTTATGTTCCAATCACTCAGCTGCTGTAAACGATATTAATTTATTAATAATATTTAACATCCTATTTTCGGTAGTGTTAATGCTTTGAAAACTTAATTTCATTTTTTATATTTCCTGGTTGTAAATTTCCAAGTCTTCTATCAGCTTGCACCTTCATAGTTTGCGAAGCGCATAATATGTTTTGATATTAAACGATCGGCGAATATTTCACACAGTCAAACGCAATAACGCTTCGACATGATACGGTTAAATAATATTATAATCTTTGAGACAAACATTTACTGATTATCTTAATTAAAAGTGATTATAAAGTCGCCTCTTTGACCTGTCGACAGTTTATTTTTTTTCTCGAAAATTGCGGAAATCTTTTTGAAAGTTTTTAACATGAAGGGATCATTTGTAGTGTTTTCTTTTTTGTGCATTGTGATTTTTACCGTTTCTGAAGCCAAGGTGTTTACAAGATGTGAATTGAGCAAGGAACTAAATAAGCTGAATTTTCCAAGATCATTTCTTTCAAATTGTAAGTTATTGAAAAAAAGTGTTTATAAATTAGACTCAATATACTATAAAGAAATTACTGAAAGTTATTTTTTATATTATTAATGACTTCATATTTTATTTCTATTAAAATAATGACATAGTGAGTCTTTTAAAATGATAACTATAGTGAGTCTTTTATAATTTTAATAATCAGATGATATCAAAATGTTTATTTATTCATTATATATTTTATGTAAAGATTGAACATATTGCGCACAAATAAATAAAAATAATTCGAATCAAAAATTATAAAATACTCACTATAGTTAGCAACCTATTCAGCCATGGTCTTAACATTTGGTCTTAAACTAATTTTCTTTGTTCATAATTTAAACCAAAATCATTAAATTTTGTTGCATCCAGAAACTAATACCTCCTTAAATGAGAAAAAAATATCACATTATCGATATCATTTGTAAAACCTCATTTAATTATTTAGTATTGAATTATAACATATAATTAAATTGAAGACATTATGCACATAATTTGTAAAACCCCACTTAATTATTCAGAACTAAAGTGATTACACATTTAATCAAATTGAACTTGTTTTGAGAGGTTTTACAAAGAAAAATTGATAATAATATCTCTATAATGGTTACTAATAATGAATGGTTAATACAAGCAAGTTAATATAAATTAAAATTGTTTTAAAGAAATGTAATGGTATACATTGCTAAAATTTCATCTTATCATATTATTATATTTGTAGATTTTTTAATATTGGAAAAACAGTTTCTAAGAAATTTCTGTACAACATTTTTATCTGTGTTATTTTACGCTAATTTTGTTGTGAGTTTTATGCTCACAAAAATCACATTTTTGTCATTGTTGCGTGTAACATAAAAAATATAAAAATTAGTTAAAAATTATATTTATGGTCAATACAGTATCAATATAATAGCAAAGCAGTGATTATTCATGAAATCTTCAGAAGTATATAAAAAAAGTTTAGTGCATATTTGATTTATTTCATTCAGTAGATCCAATCAATGTTTTATATGGCATTACTATGACCAATTTAAATAGTATAGAGAGATGAATGTATTCATAGTTTTTTTTTCTCAAACTTAGTAAACAGAAACATTTTACTATGATGACTTTATTATAAATTAAGGATGATATGCTCCAGTAGACCAATCGTCAAAAATGTAAAAAAACTGGATTATGCCTGTGATTTATTTAATCCAAATCAGATCATCTTATCCATGTTGGTTCAACGATTACGAAATGTTTTATAACTTGTAATATTATTAATAATATTAGCGCAATCACCAGTAAAATTTTATATTATTAACGATCATTGTTCTTATATTTAATCGTACTGGGAAAACCATAGATCTTATAATACAATTTATGTATCAATTATTATTTATTTTGTATATTTCTATAAGTATTTTTATGAGTACCTACAAACAATTGATAAGGTAATATTGGTAATCACATATAAGCACTTCCAGCACAAGCATATTTTAATTACCGCTTTGCTTCTATAACAAAGGATAATCTATTGTATTTAAATTCTAAAAAATATAATCAGCTTTTATTTATCATGACTCGTCATATGTCAATTTCAAATCTAGTTGACCTTGCAAATGTATTTAAAAAATGCTGCAAGACCTCCAAACCGAAATATATGCATCTGCCTTATATAATTATAATTGATAATTGATTTATGTATTCATAACAAAACCATAGACCTCTCTCTTTGAAATGAAAACTAAATTATTTTTTATCTTATTTTAACCTTTTTTGTCCATTTTACCAAATATATTCTAAGATCATAATTCCTATCATAGGTCTTAAATATCTTGATTGCTGTTTAAAAAATTTATAGGCGAATTTATATTTTACTGTTTTAGTACATATTAACATTTGTTTTCTGGTTAAGACTAATTGTCAGTTTTAAGTCAATTTTTTTTTGTTATTAATTATTTTGTAAATAAAATAATTTAATTTATTCAAGAATTGTAAACAAAACAGTTTCAGAAAAATAAGATGATATAAATCAATGATACAAATCCCGAATGGTAAAAAATTGTTATATAATCGCATGTGCATAATATGATTTTTACTAGTTAGTTAAAAATAACTGATATAATTGTTTATATGGTTTATTATTCTGGCGGTATTAGATCTATGGACATTTTTTTAACATTCCCAAAGAATTATGAAGTTGTTTATTCAATTATAAGAGTGATAACAGATGTATTTTATTCTGATTAAAAATTCTGTTATATTATCATAATATTCATTCACAGCCATTTCCTAGCATTTGCAATTTGAAGGAGAAATACAAATACAAGGACACTAAAGATAAAATAGCATAATAATCTTCATGCAATCTACTCATAGACTCTAAAAATTATTATATATTTTTATACTTTAACTCATTTCATTTTATTTTGATTTAAAATTTGGTTCTATTAATATAGAAATTATTTAGGCCAGAAACATTTCCTACCATATAAAATTGAAAATTTCATTTAAATAATAATTTTGCACCATCAATAAGGAGACTAAAGAAACGTAACCATCTCATAGACTTACAATTATTATAGATTTTTATAATATAACTTAAGTTATATATATAAAAGTATATAACTTATATATTTAAGTAGATAAATTATTTGTTATTGTCTGTTGTAATAATAAAAATAAGAATATAAAATTAACTATGAGTTAATTTATAATGAGTTTGTCGGTTAATTAACGTAGTAGTCTACTATTTTGTCAATCCATTCCATTCATTATTTAAGTTCTTTCTAAAATAATGAGATAATATATTTACAATAAAAATGGAACATAGTGGTATCATAGTGAATAAAAAATAGATTAATATCTGTATATTATATTCCCCTTCTGTTCGAGTAAATTTAAAAAATTACTTGGATTAAAAATTATATTTTTAAATATTTCAGGGGTATGTTTAGTAGAGAGTGAAAGTGAAAGGACTACATCTAAAATGACTGGACCTCTGCCAAATGGAAGTTATTCTTATGGAATATTTCAAGTAATATATATACAAATTTCTGAAAGATTAATAAAAAAATAGTTTTACTATAAATTTAGATATAGCATTTGTTTAAAATAAAAATGAAGTCTATATTTTCCCAAAATTTAGTTATCATAGTAATATAAAATAACTAGCTGAAGTATAAACGAGAGAAATATTTATAAATTATCAGAACAAAATTATACTTTGTATTTATTATTGACATATATTATTAATATGTCCAAAATATTTAATTTATTTATATTTTATTAGATTAACAGCAAGAAATGGTGTGCAAGAGGACGAAAGGGCGGAATTTGCAATAAACGATGCGAAGGTAATAATATTAAACAGAATATTATAAAATGACGCAGAACACAATAAAATACAAAATAATTAAAATATAACTTGCATTAGTATGATTAATATTTTGCCCATAGACTAAATCATATCAACCTTCTAATTAAATAAAAGTGTGAATCCGACAAATTCATAAAAGTTACTTGTAACTTTTTCAATAACCAATTATTCAAGCCAATTATTTTATTGGTCTTGCATTTACTATAGAACTATTTAACCCTTAAACCACGTATCTTTTACTCTAATTTAAATAATTTTTCCAAGAATTTACTAATTTATCTGCAGACTACATTTGTAAGATAAGCCAACAAATTAACTTGTTGTCCATCGAAGAGTTGTAAATTATATGATAAAATAAAAAATTAAAAAAATGTCTTGTATTAGAAGTAAATTGAATAACGATTCTATTGGTATGTTTTCACAGATTTTCTAAATGATGACATATCGGATGACTCTCAATGCGCAAGAAAAGTCTTTAATGAGTTGGGATTTCAGGTAACAAGTAGGACATCATATATATGCATTACCCTTGATGACAAAACTAATCCAAATTTTAAATATTTGATTACTATTTGACTTTTTTGATAAATTTCAGGGTTGGCAAGGCTGGCAGAAAAAGTGTCGCGGAAAGCCTTTACCAGATATATCACGCTGTTTGTGATTGATTTAATTTTTAATTTAGTCGTAAGTACTTTTATATTTTATTATTTCATATTGAGATACTATGTTTTAATATAATTTTGAGTAATTATAAATAATTGTAATGTGAAGAATAAATAAAACACTTAAACAATAAAAATATGAAAAATAGTCTTTTTTACCACCATAAAAAGGGATTAATATTAATCAAAGTAACTTTATCAAAGATGATAAAAATTCTTACTTGTGGTTGTAAAATTTGAGAGATGTATAGTAATTTTAAAAAATACTGCTGTATATAAAATGTGGATCAGGAATAATGAATACTATAAAAGATTTGATATAGTACACATTTCAAGCCTATATATATGTATGTATCATAACAAATACATTTATTTTATAAGGGTAAATAAGAGAACTTTTACGAGAACTTGTGAGATAAGTTTTGCCAAACAAATATTTTAAAGCTGAACGAATGAAGTGAATAACGAATCACATTTCATATGGAGAAATAATAGTTTGAAATACATGTATACAATAGAAATTATATAAAGTTTGAATTAGTTATTGTTTAAATTGTGACCAAATATTTGACCTCGTACCTATTGCATTTTATATTTAAAACACATACAGTATTTGTCTACACAATATCATAATTTCTGCGCTAGATTGATTATCATATTTTAATTCTAGCAGAAAATCTAAAAATAATATATTAATATGTTTCGCTTTTAATATAATAATAAACATAGAACTACGAATTTGTTGTGCAAGTTATTACGCCGCGATACAAAGCAATATCTTAACAAAGAATTGTTTTTACTTGCAGCAATAGTAGGCGTTAAATACTTATAAATTAATATTTTTGTTAATTTAAACAAAAAAATGAAACAAGTGCCTTCGGTGCCTGACAACTATTAGAAAATTTTGTAATTTCAAAGTCATTTAATTTGAATTAACAGTTTTACTTGTTATCGATTTCAGGGCAGATGTAAATAATCCTAAATGAACATAATCTTATAAATGATTAAAACTGTTTTACAAAACCAACCGTATACTAATAATTTGCTTTTAAATAAATAAATTAAAAAAATCATTTTTGAATCAAAATATGTAAAATTAAATTTGAATTCTCTGCGTATCAGTAAGGATCAGGTCTAGCAAAAACTAGTCCCGGGTTCGATCCCAACCTCGGTCAGGCTAGATATCAAGCAGTTTGATATCAAATTTTCACTGGTGGTTGTAAATCTAAATATTAACTAAAGGAAAATTGCTTTATATGTCTAATATATAGCACATGGTAATAAAACAAACGGGAGTTTAACCACTGAGTTGTAGTTTTGTTGAGAATAACTATTTTGATTACTTATAAATTAGCAATCACAGCTCAAAGGACAATTAGCTCTGATCGCTGTTTTAAAAAAAATCCTTCTAAGAAATTTTTAAACGTTTTGAAAACAGTGATATAGAGTCTCTTTGTGTCGATTTTAATAGGTAGAACTGCAATTATAAATTATGAATTATGTTCGTGAAAGAATGGCCATAGATATACTATTTTGCTGCAAAGATGAATTTGCAATTTGTTGGAATTTGTTATATATAAAGAATAGCAATAATAGTTTGAATATATGCATATTAGAAATTCAATAAAAAAACACGCATAGATACAAGCTCTATTTTGTATACCCTGCAATAAATAAAAACTAAATCGTCACACTAGGATTTTGATTCCCAACAATATTCAACTTTGCAACTATATGTTTTTTATAACAAATATCAAAACATACTGCAAAGCATCCTAAGGAAATTTCAATAATTTTCATAAGAAAACTCTTATGAAAAAACATAAGTACAGCGAATCAGCGTATGAAATATTATCGGTTGTGAAATTATTTATTATTAAATTTTTGTATTTTAAGAGCAATGAATAAAAATGAAACGAGCAAAAATAGTCCAATGCACATTTTCGATTTAATTTAATTTCAATTTAATTGATTTTATTGAAGTGTGGATAATATTATGATTGTTTTCCGAGCTGTATTATATTGTACTATATGTGAGCAACTATATGTTATCGCTGGTAATAAAAAAGAAATTAATAAGCGTTTTGCTATGCAGCTTGTAAACTATTATTGAATTTATAATATGTATGTTTTATTATTTGAAATTCACAAATAGTGTTCAGGACGAGATTTGTACTGCTAGAAAACTACAAATATTATTTTATATTTCAAATGATTATTATTCTTTTTTTATTATAATCATTTTGATGTAAATTATTTGACCAACATAATCTGCAAATTATGTACAAATTATAAAATTGTCCAGCCTATATTTATCACAGCACTTAAAGGAATTCAGATAGTTTTTGCCGTACAGATAATAACGAAGGAACATTTGCTGTGTCTATATCATAGACATGATTTAAAATTTATCACAAAAGATAGTATAAATCTCTATTCTATTACGACTGAGTTCAGTTCGATAGCTATATATCAGAACAGAATATGTAATTATAAACATTTTATTGATTATGCTATTTTGATGATCCACACAATCAGAAAAAAACCTAATTAAAGTATATAATTTGAAACAAAAAACTATCGACTTGGTAAGAAATTAGAGTATTACAACAATGAATTATATTAATTTTAAGCCAATCTTAAAGCGTATCCAGGCTAAAATTTAAATACTGTATTACTAATATAGTCATTAGTAATTACTATGGGACATGTGGGTTTAAGTACGAAGGCAGTGCAGTTTTATTTGAATAAAAATGAGCTTGCACTTACATTCATAACTCGAATACATATAGAAAGACAGAATAATTAAGGTACATTTTCAAAGAAACAATAATGACAACAAAACAAATGAAACAGTGGCGTAGAAGTCGAACATGGCGAGATAATATTAATATAACTACCTTATATTAAATACAATAATATGTAGGTTACATTGGATTTATAATATGATATGGTACATATTATTCTTGTTTTCCTTTGATTTTGAACAGCAATTAGAACATAAGAGTCCTATTGCTGGAATAAATATGCTTCTTTTACGTAGATTTAACCTAATGGTTGATCAAAGAAAATTTCTCTAATACTGATGATGCATAAACGCCAGGAAAGCCCTATTTTTACATGTAATCATATTTTATATTCATATTGCTTGAAAAAATACTGGTCAACGCAGTATCAAATCTAGAACCATCGGTTGCAAGACCGAAGCTCTTTATCACTGGGCTACGGAAAAGCTCAAGATACATTTATGGTAAATCTAGCCTGCTGAAGTGCAGTTTCGGAGGTAACTGTCTTATGTATTTGATTGCATAAAAGTATGATTCGCAAGATTTATTATAGGATATATGCATTAAAAAGAACTACAAATACTTTGCATTTGCAAGATGCATACCAATATGTGTGATAATCGATTTAAATTTAAATATTTCGATTGTATATGACCTTTCTAGCAGTCTACGTATTTCTACCGTCTAACAGTCTACTTGTTTACCTATCTAAATGTCTACCTGCTCAAGTGACTACTTGTATACGTGTCTATCGTGTCTACCCGTCTAAGTGTCAACTTGACTACTTTTGTAGCTACCTACCTACCTCTCCATCATCTCCAAAAAGGCTGGACCTGCCTTTGACAGAAACTAATCAGCATGTCTACTCTTTATCGATAAAAAACTATTTTGATTTAAATCGTTCAAAATTAGTTCTTCCGTCCTCTTGAACACATAAACATACACATACATATACACTAGAATGGGTCGATTTGCATGAGTCAAAAAAAGTCGCTTAGACACATATGATTTTTAGATACTAGGTATCAAAATAAGATAAATTCTGATATCCCGTGCATTGACCTAAAAATAAGGGTTAAAACTTAAAAAATTCCATTTTGACCCATTTAGAGTGCCCCAATCGTATGACCCACCCCCACTAACTTTAAAAGTCCAATCCACAAATGCCCGTGGCTCATCACCCGGTACCCCCTCTGAAAGGTTTTTCAAAAATAACCCTTATCTTTGGGTCAATGTACGGGACATCAGAATTCATTTTAGAGGTATGGTTTCTTTAGCAAGGTATCTTATTTTAATCCATAGAATCCAAAATTCATATATGCCTAAGTGACCTCAAAATCGACTCGCTCTAATATACACACACATCTTTTTTTTCTAGAGTATGTCAAAATGTTCAGGAGGTTTTGAAAATGCTAAAAATTTCATTTTTTTGCGATTACTATAACTTACCGTATGGAAAGTTAAAAATTAACAGTTCTAAAACTTGATAATTTATTTCGATGGTCTTAGAAAAGTCTTTTATGATTTTATAAGAAATATTTGGTACGATTATTCTGATAATTTTTTTATGTTCAAGACATAGTTCTTTAAATTGACATTTGGAATGGAATGAATTATATATTTTTAATACTATAAGATAGTGATTTGTATATCCTATTTTTCAATTTATCTTAAGGCTTATTTTATTGTAAGAGAGATTTTTGTGATTTAATTACATAAACCTGGTCAAATTTAATAATACATTCTTTCACTATTTCATCTTTCTACTACAATATCTACAACAGCTGTTAGAAACTAGTAATCAATGCAACAAAGTTAATGAATGAATCAGGGCCGCTACATCACCGTTACAATCACTTGAATTTATATTCTAGTGAATGGATCCACAACAGGGTTCTGCCTAATCCTTTTCATAGAATTGTTTCATGACGGAATAATTTATGCGCATTTTTCAACGGACATGGTTGATGCAATAAAATAAAACAAAAAATATACATAACGCGTTCATTTTGTCGCGTAGGTGTCGCAGTATGGACGGCATTATGCTAAAACGGGCACACAAGAGCGCACCTTTATAATTTATTTTACAATCTCTATAAGTCTACACTACACATAGACCTATTCCATATATGTCACTCAGGTGGGCGATGCGGATTGATGACCTGGGTTCTAAACAGACTCTTCTTTGGGAATAATTTAACATTCTTTGCCATAGCACGTGCAAAGTGTTGAATGAAATTCACGAGCGGAACCAAAGGCACTACACG